GGGTACACAGGGTACACAGGGTACACACGGGTACACAGGGTACACAGGGTACACAGGGAGAATGGGTAACAGGGAGTCTATATGGAGACTGGGTAACAGGGAGTCTATATGGAGACTGCCATGAATTACTTGCCAAACTATGGAAGTACCGGTACATTCATTTGAAGGCTGAGGGAAAGAATTGGCTAGAATTATAAACAGAAAAAGTGTTTTAATATCAGCTTTGTGGCAGTGGTGGTGGTGTGTTTAGGAAGCAGGGTTCATGTAATTCCTCTCCTTAAGAGTTGCCTTGAAGTGTTTCTCTGTTGATGTCTGTTTTGTGCCCACCGAAAACATTCCTAGACACATTTCTATCTGCACATGGCCACAATTCATAGGTGTCTTCTTTTGCTTCTCTACTGTTGTCCTAGCTGTTGTTAGTACGACACCAATTCAAGGTTGCCTTCTTCAATGAGCTAAGACAGGACCCTCACTCTGCTATCAAGTAAGTTTGTCTGCATTTATTTTTTTATTGATCTTGCAGTGACAACAATAAGTTTGCCAAAAGGCAGACCAAAATGTTTACCCCTTTTTTTCAGATAAGGGGTCAGGAAGGAAAAGGAACTTTCAAGGCTGTTAGCCTAACTTAGTGTTAAATGGTTAATGGAAAAAAATTTAAAAGAAAAGAAAAAAACAAAACAAAATAGAAATGAAAAATTGAAAAAAAAGGACACACTGTGTAAATTTTACACAACATACTGTGCAGCAGACCACACTGTTTGTCGCGGAAATATGAGTAGCATGAGCCAGTACTTGTTGTAGGATGTTCATGAGATGTCCCAAGGTTTAAGAGTTAGAACAATGGGGGAGAAGGAACAAAATTTTTTAAAAGAAAATGATGGAGTATTTTGTAGTTTTGCATCTCTCACTTTAAATTTAGACCACCCACAGTGAAGAAGAAAGGTTGTTCTACCTTGCCACATGACAGCCACAACACAGTTTACCAAAATTGGCAACTCCTGCTTCAAATTTCTTCCCCAAAAATTTTCAATCTTCTTGCCTTGGGGACATTACACCTTTAACTCCCAATTTAATTACATTATTAAACAGTTACTAGACATCAACTGATTGATGTAAGACATTGTTCATTTTAACCTCAGGCACTACAGGCAGGCTTACAGTCTTCTCGGAGAAATCAAGACAATGGATATGAATATGCTAGAGATCAAAGTTGTTGCAGGATTTATTAATTACAAGGTTTGTTTTTTACACATTTTAGAACTCTAGATAGTATATTTAACAAATTGAAAGTGACAATGATATTCATGATCACAGTGGTCATTTTTTATCAATCATCTGACAGATTTGTCGTCTAAGTTTCCAAGCTTCAGCTCCATTAGATGCCATATCTCAATTCAGAAGGCATGTGGATTTGTTCAAGGAAAAGGTTGGCTGCCCTGACTTAGCCTTTGAACACTCAGCCTGGCTCTCTAAACAGTGAGTACTTTTTCACTTAGCGCATAGCCACCTTAAACCATAGACCCTTTGCTTAAGTCTCCTTGCTCTTGACTAGTGGGTCAATTTGTTATTTTCCTATAAGCTTACACATGTACAGCTATAAAATCTAGGGGGAGGGGGGAGGGTGTTAATCTGCCTTTCCTTTAAATCCAGAGGGAAGGGGGAAGGTGTTAATCTGTCTTTCCTGTAAATCCAGGGGGAAGGGGAGGGTGTTCATCTGCCTTTCCTGTAAATCCAGGGGGAGGGGGAGGGGTGTTCATCTGCCTTTCCTGTAAATCCAGGGGGAGGGGGAAGGGTGTTAATCTGCCTTTCCTGTAAATCCAGGGAAGAGAGGAGGGTGTTAATCTGCCTTTCCTGTAAATACATGTAGAATCAAATCCTGGGAGATAACCTGTAGTTTCTTCATACTATGGAGACTTAATGACAAGCTTTGATGTGGTGGGGCCTATTTGATTTGTGTTCAAGAAATTTTTTCACTTTAAAGAAACCAAATCTGTGACCAGGATCTAGCATCCTCTAGTTTTTTGATAACATTAGGTAAAGTTTGAATGAAAGTTTTGACCTTACTGTTCAACTTAATGGAGCTGAAGTGATGAAAAATAGATTTTCAAGGATTCTTTTTAGTCAGTTCAATGTTGAATTCCCAGTTATCAAATTTATTTAGTGCAATATGCAATATGGTAGAGAACCACAGAGGCTTAATTATTAACAAGCTATGTAAATACAGGTTCAGTTTATTTGGAGAACTGTTTGATGAAGCCATCAGGAATGGGTTGACTGCCCTACAGGTAATAATGTAGACGATCTGTGTATGCATGAATGAAATATGTATTCATTAAACCCCAAACAACAATACATATATCACAAAAAATGGAGATCATAATTTAAATTCTCACAAATTTTGGCAAGTGTTCTGATGGTACATGTAGATGATGTCATGTGTAAACACTAACAGAAATTCTGCATGAGCATTCCCTTATCCCTCACTGGTGGGTTGGCCTCTAAGTCAATCGGTATATTGACACAACACAGCATTTGCTTTGAGTATTGTTATTTAGAATTGAAAATCATCTCCCATTATCCTATATTGCTAATGATAATTATATGTGATCTGAAAGAATTTGCAAGGGAGTGATTTTCTGTTTTGATGATAATTTTTTGTCACCTCTTGCCTATCTTGATGATCTTTCCTCCTGACTGATTAAATTTGATCATAAACTGAAAGAGGCAAGTAATATATAGGGTTGATGTAGATGTACCCAAAAAAGTTGTTAAATCTTGATTAGTGACTGATTAGAGTGTTTGAATCAGCCGTAGTCTCGCATTCTGGTTAAGGCTAACCTGCTATTTAATTACAGACTCAACACCCAGGGTTTTACTACCAACAAGCAGCGAACAATGCCATTGTCAGGAGACAGCTTTGCCAGGGCTTATGTCATGTAAGTGAAATTGTCATGTCTGAGGATTGCTGAGAAAGTTCTGAAGGAACAGCAATTTTAAAACAAACATTACGTTTTTCCTTTTTTGTTGAAAGTTATTAGTCAAGCTTATGTTGAAGATTAGAACTATCAATAAATTTTGAAGTGCAATTTATTTGCCAAGGATTTTCCACTCTGTAGGTTGGGCTACATGTACATGTGTGGAAAATCCTGGAAAAGAGTGACTGACTGTAGAGGCGAAATCTCCTTGGGAGAGTTATCAAAAACATATCCTATGATCCAAATGTATTACAAAAGACCTTGTTTTTACCAATTCAGGCATGTACACCAAACCCCCCTCCACCCCTCCCAGCAGTATTGGTAAAACCAAACAGTGGTCACCTCTTGGTAAAGTTTAAAAAGAGCACAAAATTCAACATTGTTAAGGGGAGAGGCTAAAAAGGTTTCACTTGGTAATATTGTGTTAAGTGCCTTACTTCAACCCTCCCTTGTAGTCTGGGTAAGGTTGAATGTAAACCAGTGGTAGGAAAGGGTCATAGAGTCGCTTCAGAATAAACCCAACCAATAATTGATCTAGCACCACCCAACAAGGTCATTTGTTATCTGACAGTAATTAAATTCTATTGTTCACCCAGTTTGATGAGTTACTTTCTGATTAACACATTTGTATCTATTTTTGATTCATGTCTAGAGCACCACTCCACTTAATATGAATCCCTTAGAAAATGCTGGAAATCTTGACTTCTATGGTCATAGACCTTGGAGGCAAGGGTTTCAAGGTAACTGAAAAAGTTCTTGTCTGGTGAAGTGCTTTATAGAGTAAACACCCAAGCTGTTAAACTTTAACATTCATGAGTGACCAAGACAGACTTCCTTCTTACAATTATCAATTACCACCAGACAATTGAGGGGAACTGGGCATGAGGGAAGTATCAATTGGGGGATGATTAGTTAATCTGTTACCAATTTCTCAGAACTAACAGCATAAGAATTATATTGTATGGCAGACAACAAAGAGAATTACTAATGAGATCTAGGGAGTGAAGGGGTGTAGAAAATCAGAGTTACCTTCTTTTCAAATCACATTTTCAATGAAAAGCCTCCTTTTCATTCCATCATATAAGAGAAAACATTTTATGTATTAAAAAACTGTGGGAAAAAGTTTTCTTAAACTTTGGCAATCTTATGTAAAACTTGATGTGTAGAGATGCATTCCTATCATTTGTAGAACCAGTGGTTTAATCCTTTCAGTCCCAAGTTCTCATGACTAATTCTCTTTACTGTCTACTTTATAATTCTTGTGATGATTGTTAGTTGGGAGGATTTGGTACTGGATCAACTAATATATATATCTTATTAACCAAGCGCGAGGGCCCAT